CGTTCAAATGTCCGACATGGCAAACGTTCAGTGGCACCTTCCCTAAATTACCATAATTTCACGCTTGTAAATCGCACCTTTTTCGGTTTTTCAAGCTTGCCACTCATCTTTTCGTTGTGTTTCGGAAGACGAAAATTATACTGCACGATACTCTCAGGCAATATGCAGCACTGTATATATAGTTTTTTGATCGCAAAGTCCTTCGACGTATCTGTGCTCGATTTTAAGAAAAATCTCCCGCATCTTATACGCGTGAAATTAGGGTAATGGTTAAAAAAGCATTTTATGTTTCTGATTTACGTGTGCATTGCTTGTAGCCAGCACACTCAACACCTTGCCACTTATGCACGCCCAACTGATTTGAGCGTACGATGTGCATAAAGACTCTAATGACTTCCACATAACGCAATGGCTTCTTCCAGAGAATGAATTCTGCAGCAGATACGAAAGGTAGACTTAGAACCAGCTTATCAAAGCGCATCAAATCATGTCTTCATAATTATTGCCCAAGTTACGGCTTTTAGTGACTTTAGCCTCCAATGACAAGCAGAATTTTTCTGGGAAGACGTCGGAAGGCGTGTATAAGCTCCTACAAGACGAAGGCGGTCGGCTCGATGTGCTACGCGGCTGCGACACTGCTGCGTTACAGCCGCGTCACAGCCGCATCACAGCCACGTTGCACATCGAACCGACCGCCTTCGTCCTTCGTTATACTGATCGGCTTTCAATGACTGAAAATCTATGGAAAAAGTTCGAATCTACCTTGTTTCTTCCGGATTCCAATTACGTTATCTTCCTTTACACTTTAAGATAAATCGACAAAACTTTGGGAGTCTGGAAACCTTGGCTTGCTTTTGTGGAGAACGAGTTCTGTTTGGCGATGGCATCTACCAAAACGCGCTCCTTTCGACATACCCCCACTTTTCTGACAAACACGTGAATATTGTACGCGGAATCACGAATACTCGCGGCTTGGCTGCAGCTCCCGCACCATTATCCATGACTCTGTACTTCGCAAAGACCACAATTTTCTGAACTGCGTGTCCGAAAACCTTTATGAGCGAAGTCACCTTACAATTTAAGATCATCAATACTTTAGCCAACATTAGGGCGAGCTGCAGAGTTTAAATCACCTCTGCTCAACAGGAGAGCTTCATGTTTTAGGGTTATGATTAGCAATTGGGACAACAAGATTTTTCCAGAATTCGCCAGCTCTTCTATCTGAAAGTCTCCGGCTGCATTCTAACGCTCGATGATCTACCAAAACAGCGCTATCGAATACTTACTGGAATCTTTTATGTGTGATGTGCGCTTCGTTACCTCCTTGCGAAAGGACATCCGCAGAAAAATTTGAGAGAACTGAAAACGGAAATTTGAGGACATGTTGTATATCAAAATATTCGTCATGATGAGCTGAGGTGAATGCTCTTTTTTGTATTCAGAATATATCCAATTCATAGAAGTTACCGCGCCGCGTATCCGCGTAATTCGCGTGATATCGCAAATTCCCAATGTCGCTGCGAAATTCCGGATTTTCACGACATTTACGGAAACTTTGCACGTTCTGTGGGCGATTTCGCATTCGAATCGTCAAGTATCAAACATTTAAGTCAATTTCAGTGGTTGCATACTTAGCCACTTTGATTATTCGAATATAGAGAGATCAAGATGATATTTCTAGGTCGTACTCGAATAGCCTGAAACATGGAAGTCAAACACCATCTGTTGGTTTTGATAATAATCAAGGATCCATCATTCATTATGGGTACACTCAATGAACGTTCTCACAATTGCAAATATACCAGTCTAAACAATGACTTTCGTAGCATTTTATCAGAGGAATTCGTATGATTAACATTCGGTCACATTTGCTGGTGCAGCAGATAAAAAGTTGCAGTACACATTCATATTGATTACAAACATATTTGGAGCCACGAGAGAGAGAAGACTTGACAGAACATACCGGCCCACACCTTGATACAGGATATTTGGATTGTAAGTGTACGTTATTGTTGTGTTAGTAGCATTTTGACACCAAAATGTGTGGTTGGGCTTCCGATGTGGCACGCACCGCAGTTTGAAGGCAACGTTCCGGAAATGCATACCTTCGATAGTCTAGAGACAGAACGACAAAAGCGAAGTCTGTTTTCGAACATCTGACGTCATAAATAGTAAAGGTTGTTTGAAGAAGATCAGAGAAGAGAAAATGACGTAAAACAGATATGAGAAGCAAAAGAAACCGCTGTAAACAGGATAAAATTATTGCATTACTAAAACTACTGCATTATGAACAGAAGCAAGATCTATAGAATGCACGAAAAAACCGCGTGAAAAGAGTTAAAATACGAAAAACAAGAGATTTTCGAAAACAAGGTTTTTGCCAAGTAAAAAAATGTGGTTATGGGACGTTGTCAGCATGAAAATAGAGATCAAGAGCTTCAAAATGATATGTAGCTTGCAAAATTTGGGTTCCAAACAGCGAAGAAAAGGGTACCAGAGCCAAATGCCCCGCGCCCCGCGTTTGAGGTAGCGAGGTAGCGCGCAACGCGCGGAGACGCAGAGAGCAGCGGAGACAAACCAGAACCGACGGGGCATTTGGCTCTTGTCGTGGATCTTCGCGGGGTCTCAACGAAACCCTGCAGCATTATATATCATTCTGATCGCCATGACACGACGAGGAGAACTTACAACGTCCCAAGCTTTGAGAATCACTCATTAACGAGATAGACTAGCGTATTTGTGCGCGAGTCTCTGCGCAAGAATTAAGCGCAGTTTCACGTTTTTATTTAACTCCAATAGCTTTCCTAAACTTCTGAAGCTCTATTTTGCTCAAATGAGAGGTTAACTGAGAAATTTTGTCCTGAATTCTGGCAAAAATTCCACAGAAATCTTCTCTTTAACGTAAAAATTCCATGAAAACGCAAATTCTCGGCTTCGCTGAAATAAGCTAGAGATATTATCCTCTATATTTGCTTCATTAACATAGTCAGGATAACAACATCCAGGGCGAAACCCCGGATGACTTCTGTTTTTTTCCAGGTGAAGGTTGTGTCCCCTCATAGTCCTCAAAGTGAAGGTTACCAGAGTACGTGGCTCTCTGTATCGAGGGTATGCGGGGAATGTCATGTAACATTTGACAGTGGACCCTACATAAGCGATAACTGGGTTCAAAACAGGAAAGGGTTTTCACAGAGCCTAGATTGCCGGAAGCAGCCTAGACGTCCCCTTCGTGCCCCGCTGGAAAGCTAGAACATGCATATTGTACACAATTGAAATCTGCTAAAACTGCGTGCCTGCAGCTTGGAATATTCTACTCCGCATGTTTGAATTCAAAAAGGTCTTAAATGCTTTCGAGCTACATTTTTTAGAAAACAGAACAAAACATTAATAGCACTAAATGCAACTTTGGAAAGGTAATCATTCTCGCACAGTCTGCTTTGGCGCTGCGTGCTAACAGCGGGATTGCCCCACCATTAAAAATTCTGAATGCTCCGGCTAATAGAGTTCGAAGCGATTCAGAAACTAGTATATAGAATTCAGGATGTACCCTTAATTTAACTGGCTTGGCGGCTGGGAGGCGGGGCTTCATGGCCTAATTAAGGCTAAATACTGATCAGAGAGCACGCCCGCGAAAGAGACGCAGACTGTGTCGCAAGCGCGAGCAGCCTTAATTAGGTCACAAAGATCCGCCTTCCAGCCGCAGAGCCAGTTGAATCAAAGGTAGAGGACTGTGCGAAAAGGTAGTGAACATGTATGAGGGAAGATTATGGCCTTGGTACACAAAAACCGAGGAATTTTGACACGCTTCAATTCACCTACGTTACTCACAAGTTCTTCTCACATTGCTCACTCACCCTATCACACGCCCTATCACTCATATACACAGCAAATTTGTGTCGTGACTGTAGAATCAAATCTTTTGTTCAAAAGAAGTGGATTGCATAAAAAAGCTCTTTTTTCTATTCACATGGTTTTTTCATTACCCTTACACTTTCGTGTTTAACAACGAGCAAATGATAGCGGCATCAAATTTGATGATTATATGCGCAATGGGAAGTTTGAACGGTGTATGAGAAATTATGAAAGGTTAGATGAACTAAAGACTTAACAACCTTTCCCAGGTTAGGTGGCCTCATAATACTTGGCGAACCGCTTTAGGTGACCCAGAGAAAACAAAATCGCAATTTTCTCCATTCTCACATGACTATTAAAGTTTTACATTTCATCCACAACCAATATTTTATTTATAAGCTAGAACGCTTTGAACCAGCTTCTTTCCGCTTAGTTGCAGCCCCTAGAAGAATTCGGAACGACGCAGTCCTAAAAAACATGCCGTTCAAGCGAACAGTGCGAACATGGTTTATTTCCTTTGGACATGTATTCTGCTAACTTTTGATGTTCTACTCTGTTTTTTCTTTATTTCTGTTCTCTTTCTGTACCTTAAAGACGAGGTCATAAATTTTTGGAGCAGTCAATAATGACTTGCTTTCAAAAGTTCCTTGGAACCACTTCCGTTTCTTTTTTTTGCAGATCCAACATCAAAATAAGTAATTCTTGAGAGCGAAATCGTCTACAACGGTAAAAAAAACATGGTCGTGCTTCTCAAAGCAAGACTATGTACACATTACGTGTATGGAAGGAAACCAGGTTAACCCCAGCCATTTTTTCTTCATTTCTAACAATGGAAAAAATATGGGAACTGCGAAAATGTTAGATGTATCAAATTTATATGGATGAATTGGGATCTTTAGGATGTTTTGGAACGGAGGTAAGTTGATTGAAGCTAAATTCCGTCGTTGAGTACTATCAGAATCTGGCTATAAATGGAAAACGATTTGGGCAAATGCTTGGTGCCATCTTATAGAACTTGCTTTGCTCTATCGTATATAACCGACTCAATATAAGAGAGAAGCACAAAGACTATGATTTTTGTAAGATTGGAAAAAAATTATGCCACACCCTAATACAAGAAGGTAAACATTGCAATACCACTTTCAGAATCAAACTTTTCTCTTTGTTAATCTGACACGAAATCCTTTGCTAGGTCTCAGAATTATCTCGGGTAATGGTCTGTTGTCTGGAAAGGGATCGAGGGATTCCACACTGTAGCGACGGAATATCCATGAAAGCACGGTTTTTTCTTCAAGTATTGCGAATTTTTGACCTGAACAGCGACAAGGTTTGTTCTGTGTAAATTCAAAAGCTTTAATCCTACCTATGCAGTTTCGAGGACCTGCAGAGAATGGTACATACGAGAACGGATCTCTTCCTGCTATTTTATCAGCATCAAAATGTTCTGGATAGAACTCATCAGGTTTTTCCCAGTATCGTAGATCCCTTGCAGTAGTTACAGGAACAACCACTACGGTAAGTCCTTCAGGAAGAATTGTTTCACCTAAATCAAGTGATCAAACTTATATGAAACATACTCGGCAGTTTAGGTAAGCTTTTAGCAGCAGTGAGGATGTCAGTTCAAATAATAGATAAATTCTAGCTAATCGACCAACCAACAACAACATCCTCAACAAGTCTTCGCGCAACCAAAGGAACAGAAGGAGTCATACGGAGCGATTCTTTTATGCACTTTTCTAGATACACCATTTGCTTAACATCCTCTGGAGTTGGAGATCTATCCGAATCACCTGAAAATGCACAGTTTGAGTTGTAAGATGTGATTCATACCACCAGTCCTTACCAAATATACTGTCAAGTTCTTGATGAACTTTTCTTTGAGCTTCTGTCGAGAATCCTAACCACCAAACGGTAAATCCGATACCACTGGACGTTGTGTCATGGCCTGAAAGTCAAGGTTAATACATAGGTCCTTCACCAAGATGGGAAAATCGTTTTGAAAATGTAAGAAAACTTGCTTACTGTAATCTATTTTTGTGATATAGAGCAAATAACTTATCGTATTGTATAAATTATTTTCTTTTTCGAAAAAGAAGTTGTACAGAAAAATTCTAAGTTACTGTTCGTTGAGTTCGACATGCACATCTTTGGGTAGGAGGGAATGAACCCATAAAACCAAAAATAAAGTGAAATTGGAGCTCAGTAGGCGTTTGAGTAGTTTCAGCTAATGAGTTGGAAAGAAAGACACTTTGCGTGTTTTTCTGGGTCAACTTATGCTGGGATATCAACGAAAATTTCTGTTCAAGCAAATCTGGAAAGCGCAAGATTCTACATTTCTGTAGGAGACTTTCAGAAATTTTTGCCCAAGGCTTATGTCTTGATCTAATGTCAATGATCTAGGAAAAGTCTTTGATTTGTCGCTTTAAGATAATGTGGACAATTGCTCGTGGGGAAAAGTCAGCTTTCTTTATTTCCATTTTTTAATATTTTACACTGCACCTCAATTAGGTGACACTGTGTTCTTTCCAAGCCATAAAAGATAAATAAAGGATGTGCAATCTAAGACGTACCCTCAAACATGAACGTATCGACTTCTTCTCTGATATCCTCATCGCTAAGTTGATTTTCATGCTGCATACGCAACAGAAGGTCTAAAAACGCCAGTTTCTCTTTTCTGCAGTCACGTCCATTGCCATCAAGAAGTCCCTCCTTTTCCATTGCTTGCTTTCTTTCGGCAATGACCTGAGTTTACACTTTAGTAGATGTTCAAAACTGCATAAAGTTTATTTACTTACGCTTCTGGTGAAGTCATTTGTGAGTTTCACAAGACGATCAAATTCGAAGCCAACCCCGGTCAAGTACCAAATCGGTTTGAACCATAACCATGGAAATCTAAGATAAACGAGATGTTTTCTAATGTAAACAAATTTAGAAGAGAGTGAAAATATGGATAATAATACAATCTTTGATCCATGCAAACTTTTCGCAACAAGATAGAAAAAGCGTTTTCTACTAATTAAAAACAAAATTAGATGTGCTACATACATTTCCACTCCGTTTCGTTCCTTTCCTTTGATTGAGAATGTCTTGAGTTCTTAGTCAGGGCCTGGCGCCAGCTGGCACGGAGCAAGCTGGATATCGTTTTTGGGATAAAAAGCAAAGGGGTATCGTTTTTGTCGACAAATTGCGATGTTTTTTTAGTCTTTCGACGTTTCGTTTTTTGTGGGTTTTTTAGGTTTAGGGTTTAGTGTCAAGGGGGACTTCATAAAACTTAGCGAAAATTAGGGGACTTCGTTTTGAAAATTCCCTGGTGCCAGCTCGTGCCGAGCCCTGTTCTCAGTCTTCCCCGAAAGTGTAAAGTTTATCCTTTTTCATTTCCCGCTATCTCTTCTCATATGGATGCGTTTACTGCGGAGAAAAGGACAAAAATCACAGAGAATCATCCGATGTCGCGAATATACAGGGTGTCCCAAAAGTAAGTACACACTTTTCAATCGTCAATATCTCTCTTCCCAATAGGTCTTTTTTGGCCAGTCAAATGTCATTGTGTAGAGGAGGCTCTAACTTAGATTTATAGTATCGATCGAATCACCGATCGCTCTTCCTTACTGTAGGATTACGGTAAGAACTTCCAGCACGTGGAACCATTGTGAAATATGCCATCTGACAAAATTTTTTCAAAAAATCTGAAAAATCGTGTACTAAGATTTTCGCGCACGCTGATTCTACTACACAACTTTTTACGAGTTTTCAGCTTTTTTTGAAGGTGTAATCACATTTCAGACTAATACTGGGAATTCGGTTATTACGGTTTACCTGAGATAACTTTGGAAAGAAGCATCACAGTAAAGCGGAAATCTCATACTCGAAACCTGCGGCATCCCCACCATAGTGTTAGAGTTTTTGGCTTGTTTGGTTTTGCTTCGAGGCAGAATATGGCTTTCAATGGCTTAAAATCTTTGTCGAAGTTCTTACAGTAGTCCTACAGTAATGAATAGTGATCGGTAGTTCGCTCGATACTGTAGATCTAAGTTGAAGCCTCCTCTACAGAATGATTTTTGAATGGCGGAAAAAGACTCACTGGGAAGGAAGATATTAACGATTGAAAGTGTGTACTTACTTTTGGGACACCCTGTATTATGAACCGGAACGGGAAATTGGATACAATTTTGTTTTTTCCCATTCAACATATAATTGAGCATCAAAAAGTGACTAAACACACGCTAGTAAAATGTCTATTCATAATGGCACAAAAAAGTGACCGAAATTGCATCTCTCCCACGGTTCAGCACGAGAGTGTCAAACAAACATCGGTGAGACAACTTTGCCACTACCAATTTTACGGTTTCCCACTTGATCCCGCCAGCTGTGTAGGGTGTTCGATTGGGGCGCGCTTTCTTTCCTCAAAAGGACCGGCGTCGTTGCTATTCCGGATCTTGACAAGCAGGGGAGGGCGACTTTTGGAACCAAAATGTTAATATATACTGATCTTTAGGCATAGAACAGATTCATGTAAAAATTTCGAAAAACTCTTGTGAAAAGGAAGTTTTGCCTACCTCAGGTGGGCATTGGGTGGGCAATTGCCAATTGTCAGTGGCGTACCCAAGATTTGTGTTTTGGGGGAGGGAGTGGGAGGAGACAACGAAGGTTCATCCGGCTGAAGGTGAGCGGCTCAAGCCAAAAAAATTTTTGGGATGCTTTCCAAAATTTTTTGCTACAAGGCTATCTTTTAGAAGTTTTTGAGATCTATTTCAATGTTTATGCAAATAAAAATAAACCACTTGCTCATATAATTCATATAAGCATTCCCGCTCTCCTTCCCGGTACCACCCCACTGCTCACCGTTGATAGTCCCAAATGAGAGCACTTAGTCGTTGTACAGCACGCACATACTCATTGTTCCCTCCGGTTTGAGCATTGATGGAAGTGCCCATTGCAGTTTCTGAATATCAAACTTGAATCTCAACTTTAAGAAATTGAAAAAAAGGCTGACCGCATATTATATCAAGTGCGCATCTTTTGATGTAAGGAAAAAGGTCGAAATCCCCTTCCTCTTTTGCTATGAGATCGACAAGAATCTGAAACAAAACCACAAAGGCAGTAGAATAAATTATAATTGAAATAATTTATATTACCTCTCCTTGCTGTGCAAATATTTCATGGTAATCTCGGAGAATGTTGTAATGGAACGTGGGCGTCAGCATCTTTCTTCTCCGAAACCATTTGTCGTTGGTGCTAGAAATATTCAGCAAAAAGGTGGCTGATCATAATATTCTTCGGGAAAATGAGAAGTAAGTGAATGAAAAGAAACCTTTGACGTCAGCGCTGTCGCGAGAGAAAGCAAAATCAAATATGGTGAGAGGAGGAGGTGGAGAGGTTATAAAAAGAGACGAAATGGATGAAATTTCAACTATAGCTGGATTTTTTTATCCCACAGAAAAAAATGGTGGGCATAGTTATTATACATACTAATTACAAGGTACAGACAAAAAGCCTCATTTAGCGTATTGTCTATATTTAGAAGAAACAGAAAATTTTAAAATTTTTTTGAGTAAGTATTCTCTACCTTGTCAATAAGCCAGTTCCAATCCATTCCGATATTATATCATACTGGTTTGGCTTCGTGATGTTCGTCGTACTTTCCAGAACTGGCTAGAAAATGTTTTGCATTTTTAGAAAGCGATGATATAAAATTTGGAGCCAATATGTGCTGATTTTCTCAAATCGGTTGGTGGGACTGAATGGAGATTTTTTACTGCATATATTTATGATCAATGCGTTTCAACTCTTAGTTGAGTGTGTATGACTATGTTTCCGAGGTTTGGTAATTTAGAAAAAACTCTCTCGATTGCACCGCTGTTGCTGCTTCGCTTATTAGGGACACAACGAAAAGATTTGCGGTGCGAGAAGAGCAGAACGAACTTGATATTGTTTCTTATTTAGGTATATTGGAATTGTGCAGGACTTATTGGCATAAGCTGGCGGCAGTGGCGGTCCCAAATCCAAAGGGGGGGGGGGGGTAGGGAGAGTAAAGGGTACGACAAATGAATCTTTTAAATGGAACGTGGTGTCAGCCATGCACTTAAATCAAATGTTTCAATCATTTACAACCATAAACACGTCAATTGGATATCTCTTAACTCATGTAACTTTCGGGATTCCGCTAGGCATTCGGGCACCCTGACCCCTGCCCCCCCCCCCTCTTCGGTCCGCCACAGTTGGTAGTGTTACTTTTTGGAGCAAAAATTCCATTCGATCATTACTGATAGTGAGACATATCAAACATACATTGCTACAAATGAATTCTAGAAAAACATCAGTATGATGAGTTAGCCAAACTGATCGTAAGACGTGAAGCATTCTATGATACAAAATAAAAAGAGTGTTCACTTTTAGCGGTTCCACACCGAAGAGCGTCAAATATCCAGCGACAAGCACTGATGCAAATAGTGGGTAATGTGCGACATTTCCAAAACAATATAGGATCTCAGTAATGAGCCTCATACAAAATCTGCCATATAAGCACAAAGACGTAAGCTTGGAATTGTATACTGTACTAATTTTTGATAGAGGCTAGAAGTTGCTCTTATTATGGATTGAAAAAAAAGCTCTGTTTTGAGCCAAAGTGCTTCGTGCTTGAATTGTAAAATAGCAGAACGGAACTGAATCTTTCTTAATTCGTAGTACAGAGCGACTGTAGCCAGATGCTTCCATAGCAGATTTGAGTATCAAAATTTCCGTTCTGATGATTTTTCTGAGAATTGTGTGGTAATAAAACTTGCCCTTATTGATTCCTGCATTCCACAAAAAACCAATGGTACTGGGCCTATCCAAGCCTTGGCCAAGCCCCAGTAATGTCGATCATGCATCATGTACTCGCGAGCCCAATCATCCAGTTGTTTTGTGAATGCTGAATTTAGAAGGTAGGACAGCTTTTTCGTTTAGTAAAACTGTCGCTCACCGACATTGTCCCTTTTGACTAAATGAGCAAGTCCCACAATAGGTAAGCATGACGGTCCTGGCACTTTTGCTAGAGCCACGGTACACCTCCTATTCAATCTGTAGAGCTGGACAATCTGACGTCGAAATGTGAATAGAATGTAGCAGATAATAGCGACAACCACCAGAAGTAGTGCCATTCAGAATCTGAAGATAACGTTTACTTTGTTCCGATGTTGTTGTTCCTCTAGAGCCTCTTGTGTTTTCTTTGTTTAAAGCTCTGGTCTATAGCCAAAACGGTTCCGGTTATTATTGATAGTACATTGTATGCGAGAGAACCTGTTCCTGTTCATCACCCTAGCATTCCAAAATTACTTCTGGATTAAAAAGTAAGATCTGTGATTAGAAGTGCATCATTCTTTTCGGTTGAAGATTAACATCCATGTTTGGATTGTACAGTATTGGGACTTAAAAAGTAATGGCCGATGATTTGAAGGTTCCGTGTGAGCTATGCTTGTTCTACTTTAGCCATTTTTCTAAAACTTTTCCCAAACATTCAGATGTTTGCGAGATTTTCCCTTTCAATGACAAAACACAAGCTTTTTTGTGATTTGGACCATATCTTGCAATCTTTGCACGAGAAAAAATGTCGGAACCGGTCAGATGTAACAGCAGAGACCACTTTGGCAATTTGATTGGTCCTGATGACAGGTGATGCGTGTAATATGGGCAGAAAATTCAGTTTTCTCATTGATGTAAAGCGACAGCATTCACTTTTTCAAAGAAATTTTAATGCGATCGTTTCTATAAGAGTGAGAAAAGGGCACGGTGTAAGCACGAAAGAAGATGATACGGGAATAAGTTTATTTGAAAATCCTAAAAAAACCTATAGAGGTGAGACAGAGGAGAAGTCTTTCTCGAACAAGCTACTTTTCATAAGTGTTCAAAATAT